TATATATATATATATCGCGTGCTACATCATCGCGAATTCGTGCGAAAAGATCGAAGAGATCGGAGGCTGGGCTGCGATATTTGAGCACAGATAAGGTATACCATCGTTGCAGCCCCGCGAACTGACTGGTGAAAGGCGACCGGAAATAGGAATAAGCATTTCGAAAAATCGTCGTGATAGTGAATCGTTAGAATCTTGCACGCGCCGTCTCCTCCTCCCTTTCCCTTCTCTCCCTCCCCCCGCGCGGTTGCGTGCGCGATATAGTTTATAGTGATCGTTGTTTAGATACAAAGAGAGACGTATATGTATCTATATATAAACACACATGTAAAAAAATATATATGTATATATATATAGTGTATATATACACATACACACTATATATATATATATATATATTTTATACACACATTGCATCCAAGTTGCCACCACAGCCATAGGTAGCAACTCGGATCTTGTTAACACTTGTTGAAACGATTTCCTCCACGGCGGGGAATTCCTCTTCTGCAAGTTAGTGCGAAAAAAAAAATCGCGTCGGCGATTTGGATAAGATCTTCTCTCCTTCTCCTCTCCCTCCCATTGTTGGCGATCATGCCTGCCCAAGAGCCATATTGGGCCGACATCCGCTGATATATAATTGCACACGTCGAAGAAGATTTTGCACCGCTTTTAATTACGATAATATTATCGCACAGCACTCTCTAACTTACGCTTCGATAGTTAGTATTTATTAATTGACGCTAATTTAACGCTATATTAACTATATTAACATATATATGTATATTGTTGCTAGTGAGAGAGACCGAAATATTTTATTATTATTATTTAACGTGTAAAATTAGGAATAATTATAATTAGATATTTCTTTATCCTGTCTGGATTATGTAGGCGAGAAAGTTAATAATTATTTGTTAATGATTTTGTTCGCTCTTGTACAAAAACGATGGCCATGACTGAGCTTAGGGCATTATAATACAATAAAATAAGTATATTAATTACATACGTGCATTCATTACGAAGAAATGGGGAGGAATCTTTCGTTAATAATGGCAAAATGATATACGGAAGAAGTGGAAGAGTTGTCGATCCGAGAGCACGTGGAGTGTGTCTTACACGAGATCTCTCACCTATATATGTGTGTATGTGTATCTCTTTGTTTGCAGAATTCTTCTACTACTACTACTACATAGATTGCCGTTTTGCATGCGTGTTGTTTCGAAGTTGAGCGGTGCAAAATTGATTTTGACATGTGTATTTCCTTCCTACGCTACGTGTCGCAATCTGTCAAAGACTGCTGCAGCCGCGGCTTGGAGCTCGACCCTAATTAGCGATAACCCGCTGCGGCGACGCTAGCGTTACGCATGTAAGGATGATTTTGTCAAATAAAAAATTTCGTTCTCTAAAGGAACAGCGTGTCACTCAATTGTGTCACTCTTTCACGAGGCTAAAAGCTCTATAAAAAATATACATCGAATATTTATATTTTTGTGATATAAAAAACATATTTATTAAAACATTTATTAAAATGTTAATTACAAAAATTTATTAAAATGT